CGATGAAATTTATATATATTAAAGTGACCACAGTGACTGCATTGGTTCAACAATATTGTTTCATCGTTTCTTTCACGATCAACAATAATATATCCAAGCTTTATCGATCAAATTTTAGAGTGATAAGCATCAAATTCACAATCAACGATGATTTGTATTCCAACTTTCGCGATCCAACTTTAAAAAGTTTTACGTCAAATTATTTTCAGAATTCGAAAGAGCTATGTCATGTCATTTCTCTTGACACAAACACTTGCTATACTATTCAAACTTTTTATATTGGTCACAATTATACTCAATCGTTATTATTCTTCATTGCCAATCCGTTACAATTGTTGATGGGTTCATTTGCCACTTAAGTATGATAATTAATTTATGGTTTTATAATCCGTGACCTTCCAAATTCGTCGACGTTTGATGATGAAACTTAATACCATCACTATTATTAGGGAATCATAAGGTCGTCGGATAGCTATTTAATCGTGACAAACATAATAGAAGAGGAAGGTCATGCATGCACATGCAAAGTACCCTAAAGCTTTTGAAGATAACACAATACCCCACAAATAGTTACTCTCCTTTCTCTTTGTCACTTCCTTCTTGTTCATAAACTTTTGTTATTTTTTGCCTAATAACATGGCTACTTTAGTTCAATTACATAAATATTCGAAAGTATTGTAGTAGTATAGGCTAAATATTCATGTATTATGTTATTGTTAGGTAGTGATATATTCAAAATCTTATAAGAGATTTAATTGGTTTCAATTTACTATCTTAAATTTTTAAATTTATTGTCACTAAAACTTAACGGGATATTGAGTAAGACGTTATATAAACTAATTAAAAAATTGAGTGAAATAAGTACATGAATTTTGAAGTTTCTCAATATTGAATACGTTGGGGATATTTTGTAGGATATTTAAATAAATAAAAGGGGATTGTGGATTGACATTAGACATTTGAGTAGAAGTAATTGAGTTGATTTGAAGGTTATTTGATTAGTAACAGGTACTTTTCTTCACATAACTTTGTCGCTTGATCACCATAATTTTTTTGGAATATATCATCCAAATTGTTACGCAATATATTTATTTTTAAAAATCAATAGTCGTGCAAAATGTATACGAAGGCCCAAATAAATGAAATGGGCCGATTCATGAGACATTGTACCTTCAGGATATAGGCCTAACCGATAAAGCAAAATAAGATAAGATAATTTTGATGATTATTAAACAAAGGTGAATTAGTAGAATAACCAAACTAAGATAATAACTAGTAATCCAACCAAAATTGTTATATGTGGTGGAGAAATCATAACACTAAATGTTAATTAATTGGTTAGTTGTTATAATTTTTTTTTTACCATCGGTGCTAATTTCTCATTTAGTAATTGATATATGACAAAAAAAAATTTAATACGTAATTGATATCTCATTAATCACGTCGGAGAAAAACCAAAGGGTGTTTACAAGTAAAAAAAAAGTCGTTTCAATAAACGAATCAAAGCCTCTTTACGAGTGAGAGGGTTCTCCAAAAGCGAAAGAGAAGAAGAATCAGAAACCACTAACCCCACTC